AAAAAAAAAAAAAAAAAAGAAATACACGAACTGACCAAATACTCGGTTTCTACGGTAAATCCGATCAGTGATATCCTCGAACGTACTTTACCAAAAGATTCACCTGCGTGAATGGATGTTTGATCTATTGTGATTCTTCACTGTAGGACAAGCGGAGAGCGCGTTGGAGAAGCTGAAAACCGAATACGTTTGCGGATGGTTGTCGGAGGTGATGAAAACGCACTACGAGGTTTTCATTTCCTGTCTTCTACCACATCCGGCGGATTACGTTCGAGTCGGAGGACACTGGTGCGAACAACAACAAACAGACAGCGGATATTTATGAAAGATTTACGCCTTCAGGACTGATATCATATGAAAATAATTGATCTGTTGAATATCTTAGCAAGAATTCTATTTTATAAATCTTTTTGCTAAATAATCGTACGATCTATGCATTTCTTGCATCTTTGGTTTTCCACAAATCCATAAAAATCCGCAGTCCAGTGATAAAAAGGATTCTTCGTGGGAATTCAAAGAATAATGGAACTAATTATTCTTTGAATTAGCTACTGTTTGACTATGAATAATTTAGAATTAATTAATAATTAATAATTGATTTATTTAGAGTTGAATTGTTTAGTTTCCGAATTTCTTATTTAATTGAATTTTGCCACTGTGCTAATCTCTATTACAGAGAATATATAGAAATAACATATTGTATAAATACAAAATGGCTACTATAATTGCCTGTAACCCAACAATTCAACGATAGATATTAATTTATAGAAGCGTATAAACAAAGCTGTTATTTATAAACGAACGATTCTAATTAAGGGAGACACTGGCTTCGAGAACGTCACACTTGAAAGATGGCCTAAATCGCCTGTTCTGCTTGGTCCCCTACGAAGTGATCACCCCAGACGTCTGGGACTACGTGATGCCACATTGGATGGAGGCAATGGTGAACGACGTACCAGAGTACGAGCTTCACGAGTTAAAAATGATCCTATGGTAATGTGGCGGCTCTCCCAAGAACTGAGCCTTGTCTAGGAAATTCCTCGATTTTTCAGAATAATTGATAATTATTCGATCAAATTATTTTCAGCAAAATTTTGGACCGAGACATGAGCCCCCTGGGCTTCGACGCTAAGAAGATGTACAACTTCGTGGCGAAACGGTTCGTCAACACCTGTGCAAAAGTTCAAGAACAGGCTCTGAACTGGCTGCAAACGCTCACTATGTTGGAGATCAATATCCCTCTGTGTCAACTGTTCTCCATGTTCAGCGACGGTGTGGCTGTTATGGGATCTATGAACATTTCCGAATCTGAGCAGAAACCCAGCAAAGGAACGAAGAAAGAGGACGAGGAAGGAAACGCTATTTGTAAGTTTGCTTGTTGAAATCTAGATTATAGTAAAGCTTCGTTTGCATGTTATGTGTTAAGACGATATTTAAGATTTCAAATGACGATTGGAAAAGAGATCTTCGAGGGTGGAACAATCTCTGAAGAATAATGGAATACATCTCACTGTAGTTCTTTTCAAATAAGTGAAGTGGCGCGAAATCTTTATTTCAATGCAAAAAAAAACTGAGAAATCTTAACCTACTATTTCACAGAAGTTGGAACTATCAAAAACTTTGTACAATTGTACATCGATCGATCTAGCACACAGTGATTTTTTTATTCATATAAATGCAGCAATTCACGTTCAAATAAATGAAGTCACAAGCAAAATTGAAACACAGTAGATTCTAACTTTCAAATATTCGAACATTATATCACCAGACTAGTTACTCATAGCTTCTACTCTGGCAACACAACATTCATAATACTAAAATATTAAAGTAATGGAGATTCACACAAGAAAAGTTATAGTGTAAATAATGTAAAAAAATATAATATTAAATTTATGAAAGAAATGAATTAAAAGTGAAGAGGTTTATCATTAATAATATTCATAATATTAAAATATTAAAGTATTGGAGATTTATTAAAGTAATATTAAAATATTAAAGTATTGGAGATTTATTAAAGTAATATTAAAATAATGAAGATTCACACGAGAAAGATTATAGTGTAAATAATATAATATTAATTTATGAAAAAAATGAACTAAAAGTGAAAAGGTTTATTATTAATAATATTCATAATATTAAAATATTAAAGTATTGGAGATTTATTAAAG